TGAGTTGGGGGTGGGTTTGGTGTGTGTGAGCCTTTATGGGACTCAGCCCTGGTCTGGGTATGTATGGTGTGAGTGAAGGCTGAGAGACAGACAAACAGTGCACTGGGGGGCTGTTCATTTCTGTTTGGACAGAGGAGGTTGCAAAGACCTTAAAATGAGGAGGATTCAGTTCAACTCATTCATTCATTCATTCGCCAAGTAAAGCACCCTTGTTAAGTATCTATGGTGTGGTCCTGTTGTAGGTACTGGGGTATAAAGAAAGATTAGGCATCCCCCCCATTTCTGAGAAGGTGGCGGGATGATTTATACTTAAGGTTACATGTAATGAGGAAGTATATGAATGAAAGACAGAGTAAAACACATAAAGAGATAAACATGCATAAATGCATGCATACATAAGTGCATGAATGCTCTAAGATCACGAATGCCTAGGTGTCACATTCCACAGAAAATTCTATAGCTCCCTCTTTCTAGACTGCCTACCCAGCAAGGGACACCACTGACACAAGAGACTGGCAGCAGGTCCACAACTTACCCTTTCACCATCTAAGAGCAAGTGAGCTCGGAAGATGACAACATCACTGATGGGCACCTCTTCGTTCCTATACAGGATCTGAAAGATGCGGCTGTGCACAGTGCCCTCGTGGATGCAGGCTGAGTAGAGACCAGTGCTCTCTGCAAAACAAGAAACACAGGCACTGTGAGCACCAACACTGTTCCGGACCAGTGGCCCCACCTGGTGTCTGTCCCACTCAAGGAAAATAACGGCCCCAAAAGCATTCCCATTTCCAAAGATGAAAAGTACAGATGGATAACACTCCATGCTACAAAGGCTTCTGGTAATAGATGTGGGCTGGCATCTCAGACGAATCTACTTCAGTACTCTACAAGCCCTATGATCTTGGCTAAGTCACGTGTCATCTGGAGCAGCTGACAGATGGCCTAGGACTTCTCATGCAACCTATTTTACGGTCATAATGCAGGGTGAAAACCAAGCCTGTAGATGTAGGCCTGACAACCTGACATGTTGGAGAAGGTGAATTCTGATGGCTTGCAGCAGCCACCGTTGAGTGGCTAGATGACCACATAGCCCTTCCCCAAGGAGCCACTGCTTATGAAGCACAGAAGAGCCCCCACGCCACCATTTCTTTCTTCCTTCCTATTATTTTTAAATTTCTTTTTATTGTGATTTGGGTGAAATTTCACATAGCAAATTTGTTTCCACTCAACAATTCATACACATTTTGCTTCATGACATTGACTGCAATCCCCACAATGTAACAGCTCTCTGCCCACTTCTCTTTGGTTACCTTTTTCCTGCGTCCTTCTTTCGTATGCATTCCTACCCTCTGTGAGCTAACTCCCTGAGCAAATGCTGCCCTTCTGATCCCCCCATGGTTGATTGTTCTAAGGCGTGAACCTCCCTGGACTAAATGGTCAGGATATGGGCCTATTGTCTGGTTAGAAGTTCAATTGGAGTGAGTTCAATTCCAGTCCCGAAGGGTGACTAGGGACCATAGACACAGCAGTTTCACCAGTCTCTATCGGACCAGTAAACCTGGTCTTTTTTATGTTTCTATTTTTAATTTTTTTTCTTTTTTTTTTTTTGACTGTTAAGTTCCCAATGATCAACCCAGACTGCCGGTTTTAAAGAACTTGCCCACTCTGATTACGTAAGTGCCAAGCTTTTTAGGAGTACTTGTTCAGCTTTGTGCTCTCCAGTGCCTTCTAAATATAGTCTAATCCCTAAACACTTCTTGAAAGTTGAGTTGAACTTTGGGAAGACAAAAATCTATCCAATGATGGTAAGAGACTTACTGCATCTATGGAGCAGGACTAGTTATTGTGGGGAATGCATGGGCTAACTTCTCTAAAGCAGGCCATAAACTGCAGAGCTGGAAAACACAAGTATTCTGAAGGAAGTAGTGCAAATAGTTACACACTATAAGGCAACAATGATTCATACAGAACCAGGACCAATGATGGCGTTTGTCACAGTTTACAATAGTTACATGCCGTAAGACAATGATGACCCATTCAGAACCAGGACCAAGGATGGTGTACCTCACAGTTTACAAAATGTTTTTCCAGTGTGTGACATCCTGTGGTCGTCATGGAAAATCCCAAGGGTAAGTTTTTCTCTAACTGAAGAGCCCAGGACTCAGGGAAAAGGCAAGTGCCTTGGTATCTACTCTATTATGAGGCATTGTATGGATTTATCCTCACATCTACCCACTTACTTGCTGAGAAAATCAAGTCTCAGAAGGCAAATTAATGAAATGCCCCCATTTCCTAGCAAAGGGTAGGTTCATGATCCAGGCATACTAAAAGAATAAAATAGTCCGATAGGATAGAGAGCCAGGGAAATGTCAGGGGCAATCAGTCCAATCAGCAAAGGAAAGCCACCCAATCGCCTTATACACCATCCCCAGATGGCTTAGAGGATTCTTTAGAAAGAAGGACAAGGAAGGGATCGACGCCACCTCTCCACACAGTGATGCTAAACAAACACTGCTTTGTAGCTTCAAAGCAGGAAATAGCAGCTACAAAAGAAAACTCCCAGTCATTTCCAAGGCCTCTGAGACGTGCCTGCTCCACTTATACTCCACCAGGAAGGAAAGAGTAGTGGAAGTCTGGCCTTCCATTCAAGACACACAGGTTCGAGTCCCAGCCAATGCTCTGCAGCCACTGTCAGTGGCCTGTGTGATGCCATGACTTGGAACAAGTTTCAGTGCAGATTCCAGACCAAGATGGACAAGGAAGAAAGGCCTGATGATCTAGCTGAAAATATCAGGCAGTGCACAGCCCAGGACCACAGTGGTCAGATCCACAGCCAACCACAGGGGTGGCAGAGGACTGGCAGCGTTTTGTCCCAGTGTGCACAGAGTCACCACGCATCCGGGACTGACTTTATAGCAGCTAAAACAACACGCAGCCCTACTTAGACCTGCTGAAACAAAGTGGTGTACATTTTAAATAGAGGTGATTCTCACAAATCAAAGCCTTCTGCTTTAATTTGCTGCACCCAGCCCCTCCTCCATCGCTGTCTAGCTCTAGCCAGAATGACAACACGGCAGAGGATGGATAGACAGAGCAAATACTCTAAACGTCAGAGCAACACTGAGCTGTCCAGGGCTGCGGGGACAGATGGCAAGACAGGTCCCTCATTTGCCTTCTTGAGCAAGTCACATCACCTCTTACACCACCAGCTTCCTCATTAGCAAAACAGGCATAGCCGCTCTGATCTCCTCATTGTTGTAGACACAAAGAGGATAAACTTGACTGAACCTTGAGATGAGGCATGTCCTGAGCAGCCAATACCCAGCACCACGAATTTTTAATTATGTTTAGAGAGCTCTGAGCCCTTACATTTCCATTGGCTCCATTTTTATGGAAGATTAAGCTCCTCTGATTTTGAGCGGATTGGCAATGAGGCCACAGGGCTCAGTGGTACTTACTGAAGGTCACCAAATCCCGAGGTGCTCCATTAAGCCCAGAATGGCATTTCTAATGCCCTGTGGGACTAACAGCTGTCTTTGTAGAAGGAAAGGCTTGCTGGTTACAAGACAACGTTGGGGCCCTGGACATCACTGAGACAGCCCTGTCCTGTTTGCCCCTGTCGGGAATCTCTCTTCTTCCACAACACCCTCCCATGTTGGGATAGCTGACCATTCTTCTCGCTCCTCTTCCTGACATTCTGAAGGAAATGCTACCTTCTTCTCCTCGGCAAAGCTGATTGTGAGAAGGCACCCCTGGCTCACATGCCCATTTCCTGGAGCTGTCCTTGGTAGACAAAAGCACTAGCCATCGCGTGCAGCTCAGCCTCCTGCATGTTCTCGGCACTGGGTCCTCGAATACGAGGACAGTCCACCCTGTGTCCACCTTCAAGGTCTGGTCTATACCTAGGGATGCTGCCCTTTCTAGCTAAGGGGCAAAGAGCCCTATGTTTTCTCCTTAGAACTTGACTTACTGTTTGGCAACCAGATTTCTACTCAAGACGTCCAATGAGAGGATACAGGCCAGTGTCTGCCCCTAAATCTCTTTCTGTGTTTGGGTATCAGAGTTGGTACCTTGCGTTGTAAATGTCGCCCCCACAAAAAAGGAATTTGCACCTCAAAGGAAAAGAGCAGAAGAACAGGAGGTGGGCGAGTCCCTGGTGGGGCAACGGGTAAGTGCTCAGCTGCTAACTGAAAGGTCAGCAGTCAGATCCCCCCAGAGGGGCCTGAGATGAAAGGCCTGGCAATCTACTGGGAAGAACCGCCTCTCGGGAACCCTGTGGAGCAACTCTGCTCTGACACGTGTGTGCGGGGTCTCTGAATCGGAACTGACTCCCCGGCAACTGGGAACTGGCATCCCACAACAACAAATGCTTAGGAGATGATGTTCATGTGCCACAAAGAAAGGAGGAGGTGGGAGGGGAGTGAGTGGGCATTGGGAAGGAAGAGGAAGAGAGGCCAGAGAGAAGAGAAACAGGCCGAGGGGAGACGGGCAGCTTGCCCAGGGCTCCTCGCTGCCAGAACAACGCCCTCCAAACAGCTCCCTCTGGAATTCAAGCCAGAGGGCGAGAGAAAAAGGGCTTTAGGCTGTCCTGCTTTCTCCCCAAAAGTGAGTGATACTCACACTTCGCATGTCTTTGCACCTCTAAGATGCTCAAAACTCAACAAGGACCCTCC